TACCTTATCTCTAAAATTACTTTTCACTACCATTTTTAGAACAGGTAGCCATTCTAATGTAATGTGTTTACTATAAAGATATTCAGTGATTCTTTGAATGCTTTGTCACTATTCCTTCTCACTTTGCCCCTCAGTTCTCAAATAATATTGAGGATATAGATTGAGCAACATAGAATAAATGAATAGGTAACTATGAGTTGGCGTCAATAACAACTTTCTTTAAGAACAGGAGACATTCCAATTTCTTTGAGGGAGTAAATTCTAGGAAAGTAAAGTGTTGGACTGTGTAGAATATTGTCTTTCATGGTACTTCAGAAATGTTCTTATTTTTGCCTTTGAAGATATAAATACTAGTAGCCAAATCCTTATTTTCTGTTTACTATTATGATGTTCTTAGTTATTAGCAATTGCATTTTAAAAATTGGGTATTCATTCTTTTAAAAGTCAAATTTTATATTTTATCTTTACCGTTAATTTAATTTCTGCATTATTTTATATAATTTCAAAGGAAACAAGTTAACCGAAGCATTGTGGAATTGAAGAAACAGCTTTAGCCTGGTAAAGCTATAAGAAAGAAATGATGATAATAGTAAAGATTTCCTCCCCCAAAATTAATGGGGAAAGAATAATTATAGGTTTAACATGCAATGACATGATTAAATTTTTTTTATTTTGCCTATAAGATGTCTTTTTGTTAGCTCTCAGTTTTTATTTTGATATTTAGAAGATAGTTGAGAAAATAAATTCTTTGACGATAATTGTAACTCAGTGGTTCATTATATACACAATTAAGTTAGTGAATCAAGTAAATTAAAGAAAGTTTTTCAATTCTTAAGCTTTAAACATATAATGGTATAATTTAATGTAAAGATGGGCTAATTTTGCTACAAGTATTTTTGGAAGGGTTTTAGTGTTTTAAATAATACTTTAAAATCATTGACTCTCCAGGTTGGAAAGTCCTTTAATCCAACTACTTTATTTGATGCTGGAATCATCTTGCTAAATCAAATAATAAAAAGAAAGGTGGGGTGTGTGTTAAAAAAGAGAAATGAGTGTGGCTTAAAGACAGCATTAAACAAGATTAAAAAATTTAGCTTGAAAGCTTTTAAAGTCTAATTATATGGGGAGGTGGCAGTGTTTTTATTTGCTGTTTACCTTTGATCTATGAGCTATTTTTGGTAGAGTAGGACATGCTTTTGTGAAAATGTTTATAGCTTCTTCATGTGCTCTCAGGATACTTGTTTGAAGTTGCCCTGTAATTCTGAGTTTTTAAAAAACTGATATTATTATTATTATTTGGCTTTTGCTTTTGGACTAATAGTAAGTTATCCTATATTTGATTCTTTTTGACTATATAAGTGACATACTGAATTTGGAAATAGATTTATTGTTTTGGGATACATGAGAACTGTTATATATAAAATAATACCCATGCATAACAATAAGAAAATAAAAAACTTGCAGTTCACTGTTCAATGTTAACCTTTTCATTAAATTGTTCTCTACTTTGTAAAACCTATATATACATATTTGAATTTGATTTCCTAGAAATTGTTTCTAACTATACACATTACATTTTTATTCAAAATATATTGAGGGTATACTTTTATGTCAATAAATATAGATTTATATCATAATTCTAAATAGTTACAGAATAGTGTTATATAGCATGTATAATAATTTATTCAATCAGTATATTATTTTCAATTTTTGGCTATTATAAAAATGCTATAATGGACACATTTTAAAACATTTTTATGATTAGTTCTTTAGGATAATTTTTGGAAGTACCATTGTTCATTCAGAGGATGTGAACATTAAAAATGTTAGCATTTACTGTTAAATTGCTGTTCAGAAAGGTTGTACCCAGTTTATAATCTCATCAGTGATACATGAAAGTTGTTATTTTCTCACATCCTCAGCAGTACCAGTTTTATCCAGTTTATAAAATATTTTGCTGATATTATAGAGAAAATATTTTATTTACATTTCTTTGATTATCTGGGATATTAATGTTTTATGTTAACACCTTTATTTTGTATTTCTTCATTGTACATTCTTGTTTAGATTCTTTATGCATTTTTATATTGAAGTGTTTGTAGCAGTCCATTTTTATTAGCGTATATGTGCAGTTTTGTTCAAATCAGGGAACCAATATGGACATTATAGAATATCTTGATCATTTTTAAGCCCTTTATCCCCTTCTCTCTTACCTCTCTGTGATCCTCTTCCCATCTCCAATGGTCTTCCTTCTAGTTTCTTATCATTTATTTTATTCATTTTATTCACTTATATTTTAGGTTTCTCATATAATAGAAACTGTGTGTTATTTAACTTACTATGCCTGACTTATTTTTCATAGCAAAATGGCCTCAACTGCCATCCATTTTCCTGCAAATCCATTTCCATACTTTATGGCTGAATAATATTCCACTGTGTTTATATATAATTGTATGTTTTTTTAGTTTGGTGAATTTAGAATGTGTAAAAGACTTGACAGTGGTATAAATCAAGCCATCATGATGGTTAGATGTAGAAGTGTATGGCGCAGGTTGGATTATTGATTGAAATCCTTGAGGGAGAAGACCATTTAAAAAAGTATTTACATTTGTTTGTTGTTACTTTCTGGTATAGTTCCTATTCCAAGATCTCTACATGCTGAATGAGCAATAGAGGGTTGGAACAATCCATATGTGATTGGGTGTTCTGAACACTGCTTTTTATAAACACACTGTGATTTTCCAGAATAGATGGTGATTTGCTCTGACATTCCTTTTTATACTTCTTACTTTTGTGCTATTGCAGGACCAAAGTGACCACGTTTATTTTGGGAAATATTTTCTTTAGCCTAAACTCTTCTAGTTCTTAAAGAAGTAGTTTACAATATGTGTGCACTAATGTTTATCACAAAATATTGCTTCTTTATTCCTAAATTCTCTGTATTAATAAATATTCATTAAAGTCATTTTTCCCTTTATAATAATGAACTCTGTGACCTGAACAACTTATTTTCTTTTAATTATTTGCTCTAGACCACCAATAGCTTCAGTCAGTTGACAACGTGATGTAGAATTGCTTTTAACTTCTGTAGTAGGACTGTTTTGATGAGACATGTGAAATTTATTTACTTTCTGTTAGTATATATTAGAACATTATTTGTCTTGAATGTCTGGAATCTGACTTATTTTAAGATTAAAAGTATTTCAAGAGTTAGAGGTCTTAACTCTTATAGTCCAACGCTTATAAACAATTAGATCTACATTAGTCATAGTATATTCTGGTTGCATTTTACTTTACACTCCCCTTCCATTGTTTATATGAAGATGAAGGATATATCATATATTTTGTATATTTCCAACATGTGCTCTTAAAAGAATATTTGCCAGTTAAAAAAAAAAAAGGTGTAACATTTAAAAAAATGCAGAGACTAAAACCATTTTAGATATATAGGATTTTGCTACAGATTTATTTTGTGGTTAATTTCTTTACAAAGATATTATAATTAATAGTTTAGGGGAAATAAAAAGTGAAAATAGCATTTATTAAACCGAGTACTTTTGCTGGTTTTGGACATTTAAAAAGTGTGTGCAAGTAGGCTTATGTGGTGTCCAAGATAAAATTATTTTCCCAGCCAGAATCATAGAAAGCCAAAAAGTAGAAAAGGATATTATACCCCAAATGAATGTTAGAACTGCTTTCCCCTGAACAGAGTTTTCTTGCTCCTGTGGAAGTAAGCATTATCAAATTGCCGCAAGGTGATGAAACGGGATTGGGGAAGGTTTCAGACACCATTTCTTTCAAAAACAAGGTGGTTTAGTGAGGAAACCTGATGGATATATTAGCCATTCATATTTAAAGCTGTCCAACTTCCCAGACTGTTATTATCTATCAATTGTGACTAGAAAGTGAATAAATATTCTGGGTCACTTAGGTAAAATGATATTTTAGGGACCTGTGAAAGGTTGAATTAGATATTTATTTCATTTCCCAATTTAGTTTCAAATGCTGATACATAATATGTTAAGGCCATTTGTGCTGTAACTGCAAAGTTCGGCTCAGGGATTCCTATTAACGATGCTGATCAACATTTCTTTTCCCAGAAAGAAATTTGTTTAAACCTAGTTAGATCTGTCTAACATAGATATTTACTGGCTATATTTTAAAGAATGCACAATGAATCAAACCAATCCCCAGAGCCTAAAACTCTGACCTAAATTAGAAACTCAAGCTCCCTTATTATTTTCATTTGAACGCTACTCATAGCCATCCTCATTCTGTAAAGAATACAATTTCTGCAACAAAGTTTCTTTGTTTTCATAAAACTAAAAATGTGCTGTATTTAGACCAAACAATAAAAATAAATTACCAAACTACCTTCTAATGCATGGAGATTCTGGAGAGAGGAAACCATAGATATTTAGGAGAATAATGTGATTCATTGTGCTAAACATTTTTATAAAGCTGGTTTTGTGTGTTTGAGTTGCATCTGTTACCTCTCAGTCAATATTAAAGTGTGTACAAGCAAAACAATTTTGAATTGAATTATAGCACATACAGGCCTCAGCATCTAAGGGGTCCACACCTTAGTAGATAAAAGCTTATTTCCTTATTCAATCGATAAAGTATTTCTGCTGAACATTTTAAAAATGTTCTCTATGAAGCTAATTCATTTTAATTTGCAAAGATAAATGTTTTTCAAATCTAATTTGACTTACTCCTGCATTTTTAACATCTCCCCTTTACTTTTACTTATTTGTACTTTTAAACACTTATTACTGACAATGTTCTGAAGAGCCGTAATACATGTAGATGTTGTATCCTTAGATGCAGAATGATGAAATAATTGTTTCTTTGGCATCATCATCTTGCTGTTACAGTTGATGAGGACAATTGCTTGAATTAAAAATAGTATGACTTATCACCAGAGTTTATACTTTAATAAAATACATAAATACAATTTACTTATTCTTTTTCATTTCATTTTGTGTCTAAATTTTCAGGTCACTTTCATGAATTCAAAGGCAATTTACCAGTGATTTCTGGGTGCTGGGGCTGACTTTTTGTGCGTAATTGTAAGTATTTATTTATTGTTTTTGTTACTATTTCATGTAACAGTCATAGTATGTAAATAAGTTCTTAACTCCCCTTGTATATGAATTTTTAGTTTTTCTGGTAAGCTTTTTGTAAGTATTATAATTTTTCCTTAATGTTTTCATAGGAAGAGTATAGAAAAAAATGACAGTTAAAAAAAAAAACCTGTTTGTTGTAGTTCTCAAGGAAATAACACAATGTAAGGCCCATTACAATAAGCCCAAAGAATATTTTACTTTTGGGGAACAGAGCCCAATGATAGGAATGGGTTACCTTAAAGATTCTAGTCTATATACACATGAATAATTTACCTATATAACTTCTTATATTTCTGGTTATCTGAACTTGAAAAGTGCTATGCGCCTCTTCTCAGAGAAAAGATGTTAGTTGATACAGAATTCAAAGAGCTGTCAGTGCATGAAGAGATTATATACTAATGAACCAAGAACTCATTTGGTGAATGTATAATATACATCAAAATGGTCATATCCCTGCCCACTTTCCCATCCCCAACATACAGTGTATTCCTTAACTATGTTTTTCTGGAAAGCAGGTAAATTTTAAGATGAAAATTGAATAAACTTTAAAGATCTATTCAAGTATTTTAAATTAATCAGTACATATTTATAATATGGAAATAGTTGAGAGTATATGGCAGGTCTTTAAAAATGTTTCTGTGCATATAAACCTACATTTGAGTAACTTGATTTTAAAATATATTTATATGTGTATGTTTTTGTAAACCTTTGGCATTTGTAGGGCTTTTAAACATTTGATAACAGCAAAAACATAGGAAAACTTTTCTTTTTTAATGTACTGCTATAAAAAAGTTTAGAGAAAAAAAGTTTAGAGAACATATTTCTATGAAAGTATCTGAAAAAATGTTATAAGTTAAAGTGATTCAATATTTAAATAGAAAGCAGTGAAAATTTAATTTACAATCAGATTTACCTTCAGTAGAGGTAATATTGATTCAGCTAGGCATTTTGAACCAAGTTTAAAAAATATGTGTGTAATATTTAATATAGTTGAGTATATATTATAGTTTTTGATGATTTAAGAATGAATAAATTGTTAATTTTATGAAATTGTATCAATTTACATCTTGTTAATTGAGACTTAATTCCTCCTTAAAACAAAATTGTATAAACAAAATTGAATTGTATAATTCATTTAAATTAAATATAAGCTTTTAATTTGTGCAAGGTACAATGGTAAGGATTAGGAGGTAAAGAAGACTGAGAAAGAAATATAAAGTATCTTTGAAGGGCTTTTGATGAGAACAGAATTGTAAGGAGCTGAATTTATCCTATTAGAAATCTGAGTGTGGGGAAATAATTTTGAGCCATCCAAATCTTATTCCAGCTGATTTGTCCTTTCTTTTATTTCTTTTCTCTTTTCCTTTGTATTATCCAGTTATTTTACTAAGTAAATTTTACTGATGATTAAAGATTTTCAAGTGGCAAGTAGAGTTACCATCATTTCAACCAAGGGAGTCTTTGTTATAATTTACATTTCTTATCCCCAAAATCTGTATTTCCTGAATTCACTTGCCCCAACCTTCCTCCCAAGATACACATGGATTAATTTTGAATGGAAGTGATCCAATTAGCTGAAAATTTTTCTTATGATATAATAAAAAGAAGACTAAAATTAGAAGAGAAACTGTTGATAGAAATTTTTATTTTGTGTTGCCCAGCCTGGTCTCAATATCCTGTGCGCAAATGGTCTTCCTGCCCCATCCTTCTGAATTGCTGAGATTAAAAACATGCACCTCCCACCCTTCACTAGAGATAAAACCAGAGCCTCATGCATACTTGGAAAGCATTCTACCACTTAGCTACACCCCCAGCATATATATTTATATTTGTATATATTTATATTTTCTGTAGTTTAGCTTAAAAATCCAAAAATATTTCTCATAATATTTTATTTGGTCATAGCCAGGCCAAAAATATTCGTTGTCTAGTCTTGAGAATTTCTGTATGTTTCTTTGGGGCATAGACTTTGCTGTTTCTTGGGTCAGTGATTTCACACTTTGTTAGGACTGTCTCCAGTCTGCAGAACCTCATTGTTAAAGAGATTCAGCAGAAGGCTATAACTAAAATAAGTGAAATAAAACTAATACAACATTCAGAATGTTTGCATTTCTATTGTGGAAACTGTCCATCACTTACACTAATTGATGGGGCAGCAAAAACAATGGAAATATTAATTTCGTTAGACCTAAGAACAAGCAAATAGGATTAGTGACAGTGGCTTTTATGAACTTTAATTTCCATGCCCTGGAACTGCTTATGTGCTACATGATCTAAGGCAGAAAGTTATACCTCATGGCTATGGGAAGGTTTCTCAGTCAGGTTTACAGAAGCCAGTCTGTGAGATAAGGAAGGTGGGATATTGTTTGCACATCCATAATGAATGGGCCACAGCAAGAGTGTGTGAGAACCGATTGGAATCTTACCTACTCACATCTACTGTCCAGATCAAAAGAGAAAAGCATAGTGAAGAAACATGACTATCTCTTCAGAAGCTACATCTTATTCTAATAGTTTTTTTCCCCTTCTTTCCCCAAAGTAGGTCTCATGTATGAATACCTTGTTTTGCGTTTCAGTATTCTAATTTAATTTTCATTTTTAATGAAAAAAATAACTGTGTAAGTCTGACTACTGAGTTTTACCAGGGCAATAGATGAATGGTTAAAACAAGACAAAACAAACAAAACAGCAACAACAACAAAAAATTCAAAGATTATTTATTGAGTCCCCGGCTTTTTCAGGTTACCCAAGCAACTTTAATAATTTGATAGTGAATTCCCTTTTATAAAATTCTGTCTCAGTTTATGATCTAGCAACCTTTCCTCCAAGTTCTCTGACAAGTATTTTATTATCTGATACAAAAAATGATAATTATTTAAACAAAGGTTAGAGGAAAAAATAACAATAGTGTCTGAAGTTGGTATAACACTTGAGTTTTGAGACATTAAATTAGCTAAATTTCATGAAAACTCTGTAGGATGTAGAAGAATTATCTTCATTTTTGCAGAGCAGCAGGGCTCAAACCTGAGTTTATGGTGTAAATTCAGTACTGTTTTCATTAACACAATCCTGTCTTTTTGGAGAGAGAATTTTAGCTCTCCTTTTGTCTTTGGTCACTCTCTCAGTTTTCATTTGGTTGCTGTACAAATAAATATTTTTTAAAAGTTAAAATAGAGTAAGTGAGAAGAAATTGAGACAGCCTTCTATGACTTCGTTTTTTGTTGTTTGTATTTTCTTTTTGTACTGCTGCAGCATTTGGTCCTTCTTGACATTTTCCTACTCTTTGGAAACTGCCACATACCTTGCTTCAACTGAAATTTTTTGAGTCGCATAGATTTTTTAGGAAACAAACAAAAAAAATCACAGATTCATGCTTTTGTGGTATTTTAAAATGGAAAGAAATCTGTTTCAAACTGAGCATAGTCCAGACCAAAGCTCCCTCAGTGAGAACATCTGTGATTTTAAGGACAAGTAGGTCTAAGTGCATTATCTTTAAAAAATATTATTCCAGGCTAATCTTGACATAGACCAGGTAAATAAAAAAGATGAGCTGTGAAAATCCACAAATAGGGCTTGAATGCCATTTTCCATGACAACGGGAGCTGCCCCATGAAAGCATTAATGCTGAGAATGTAAGGAATTTAAAATTGTGCCCTCTCAGTTTTACAGTTGTATGCTCATGTTAATTAGAGATATACTGACATTTGAAGTTTCTACATTAATACACACAGCTACTATACATTGGTCTACTGTGGCCAGAAATCTACTTTAATTAAAACGAGTTTGCTAATCTGAAAGCGTATATCCATTACATTTTAAGCTTTTAAGTTTTGTATACTGGTACCCTTAGATTCTTATTCTTTATGCTCTTTCTAATTTCTGTTCCTAATTTATACCTGAAAGGACAGCCTGGCCCGATTTTAATCTCCTAGTGGTGTTTTGGAGTAATATTAATGGAATTTTTGAGAAAAAACGTTTTTAATAGTGTCTTTTATTTGCTGTAGTTTTGAATCTCTTTTCTGACTCTCTAAATGATTGGTTTTCTTGCAAACCTTTTAAATGGCCTGCCATGGAAATAAGGTAGGATTTAGGTTTATGGAATTTACTTCACTATCTATATTTAAGCCCAGAAAAGCTACTTTTTACTGTTACACTATAGTTTTAGTTGGGGAAAACCCAATAGTAGAGACTTTAATAAAATGAGTAGTAAAAAACATTCTGTTTTTTCCAGTAGAATTTATTTTCATTCTTCTGTCTTCTACCATGCATCTTAATTTTTGATTTGTAAATATGTTCACAATTGCTTGAGGCCTTTGTGAGGTCATCTTTACCCCTAGACTTTTTGCTTTGTCTGTTTTACACTCAAAGCATGACCTTACAACTACTTTTTGCAATCTTGTATTTCTTCAGAATCTTCTTGTCAGGACTTTTAACTTTATTGTTTTGTGCTTGTTATTTAGTGAAACTCCCTCACTTATATTTTGGACCAATCCCTGAGTATTACACAAGAAAATTCCTGTTTTTAGCAACAGAACAATGCTTTAGAAAGTTAGTAATACTCAGAACTTGTTTCATTAAATCATTTTATTGTACTTTTAAACTACTGAGATCTCGAACCATTAAAACTTACTCAGTACAATTATTATTATAGCCTATTTTAATTTTTATTACTTTTTTTTCACAGCACCAAGTTTCTCTGTTCTTTATTCTTTCATGTTGCTTACTACATATTATGCCATCACAGCACATTTGGTAATTTCAAGTTAATTGCTCAATTATCAGTGACAGTCATGAAGCACTTGAAACATGCGCAGTGGAAGATTTTTTAAATTTCAAAATAAGTTGGTGTGTCATAATCTTAAATGTGAAACATGCCAATATCTGCAGGCATAAAAATACACAGCCTGAGCTAGGCATTTCAAGGAAGGCAAAAACCTACTCTTAAAATCAGGGCTTTTGTCTGCCACTGAAGTGTTTCATCTTTGCTAATTTCAAACAACATGTCTAAATTTGATATTGGCTTTTACTTTTCAACTCTAAAAATTTGGTCGTGGTTTATAAAGGAAAAGGGAAGTAAAGCTGCATTGATTCTGTTTGAGGATTTTATTGGAATTTCACATTATTGTTCATTGTAAAGTGGGATTTGGTGTGAGGTGAGTCCATGTTGGATGCCAATCAGGGAAGTTGGCTTAATAATGAAGCAAAATAGTTTCTTTATAATATTTATTTATTCATTCATAAGGTGAGCCTATATTCAGAGGACAGTGTTAGAATGAAGGTTGTATACTGATGATTTGTTAATATTGGAAAAAACCCACAGAAGAACAGTGACATTTGGGCACTTATTTGAGTCCTACAGAGTAATAGCCTCAGATGCCTTCAAGATAAACTTATACATTATGATAAAATAATTATTGTGACTCCTTTGGCAACTCGGCAAACTATCGGCATTAGTATTCAGTTTAGGGTTTTCTCTAAACTAATGTAGTGCCAACAGCTCTTTTCTAGATGCTGTTATGGTTCTTTCACATTTTTATAGTACTGTAGTAAAGCCGGATTTACTGGCTACATTTGAAGGTGGAGTAGGGCTGCACAAGAGTCAACATTAAAGTGATTCAGTGCCTGTTGGAGAAAAATTCTTCTTAACTTGAGATTAGAAACAATGTGGGGCTTAGGGGCAATTTTCTAAGAGCTACTAATAAATTCAAATTTTCTCCTAAAATTTGCTCTTTGAACTTGTTTTTAACCAAGAAAACAGGCTTACTCATTTTCTAGTATTCTTCATAACTTTAATTAGTATCGAAATGATTAAATATAAATAGAGAAGAAATAAAACCATTATTTGAGGTGGGTAGTAGTCTCAAATATAAAGTGAGGGAATGTCAATAAATGCACTAGTTGTGTACAGCTAGCTATATTATTACATAATGATCTATAGGATGAGAAATACTGCCTGCCTATTACTCAGGAAAAAGTAATGTATTACTAGAAAAATTTTGGTAATTATTTAATTTATAAAGATTGAATAATCAACAAAATCTATTTTTTGTATCTTTAATCACTTTTATTATAGTTTTTTCAAAAGTACATATTTTATGTTATTTTGGAATTTTGCTATAAACTTAACATTTCATCATATTTTTACCAGTTCCAAGCCATCAAAACATTGCCAGTAAAGGCAAAACATTCTGTGCATTTTCTATATATAACTTACAAATGTCTTGCTGAAAGCTTTAACAAATACAAAGCAATAATAGTGAAAAAGATTAATTTGCAATGCATCCCGTTCCATATATAAAAAAGGTCTGGTAAAAGAGACTTATTCTTAATGTTTAATCAGTCAAAAACATTTATTCATATGATGTAATGCTGATTATTATTATTCTTATTTGCTTAACATTAAGGACTTGGAATAGAGCTTACAAAGGAAGAAAAGGTGGTCTCTACCCTAAGGGCATAAAACTTGACTTGTTACTAGAGAGTTTCTGTGGGTGGAATTTTCTTTGGCTACAAACTGTACTGGAGTTAGCTCTCTCTCTTTCTTTTCAGCTCACAGTTTCATGTAAACTTAAGTGAATGAATTCATTAATAAAAGCAGATTTTCTATTTTCATTTCACCTCTGGGCTCTTTTATACCTTTGGAACACACAGGCACAACAAAAAGGTATGTTTGACAGTTAATTATTATTTTTCCTTTTTTGATTCTTGCATTGCAAATAATTAAACAACAGCATTAATGGAATCCAAATCTGCAGAATACAGATTCCTATTTTTTTCTTCTTAAGAAAAAAGTTAAGCAGGTTGGTAACAAGTCTATGACTTGGTTTTAATTTGGATACTAGTGTTCTGAGTTTCATGGAACAAAGGGAAGAAGAATCCAGATCTCTTATTTTGTATATACATTTTTTTCTCCTATTATTATGTATGTTACAGCATTGAATTAATTTTTCAAGTGAGATTGGTCCCCTATAATATGATCTCTGATATTGCACTGAGTGCATATTTATTGAATGGCTGACAGCTTTAAGGTATGGAAACATTCTGTGATTTATCCTGATAATGGCAATATGTGAATCCATTGATTATGCGGATTCTGTGACTAGTCAGTGGGAGCCTCCCACTAGACTTGGAGTTTCAGGAGAGAGTTCTGAAGCCATATCTGGGAGAAGGCTTAAGACAGTAAGACTTGAAAGTATGTGTATAAACAAGAGAGTATAGAAAATTTTGAGGGTGTGGAACTTTTTGAGGAGAGGACATGGTTGAAGAGAGGGAAGAAATGGCTATCCTTCCAACTTGGTTGCAGTAATTGAGAAGAGGAGGAAAAGAGAGAGAAATATGTGAAACAATAGATAATTTAAATAGGAGATTTTTATAGAATCATAAAATGGATTTTAGGACTTTTTTAAGACATGGAAATACTTGTTTGGATCAGACAATAGTAACTTCAAAGGAGTATTATAGGGCCAGGGATTCAGTTTAGTGGTTCCAGCGCCTGCCTCGCAAGCACAAGGACCTGAGTTCAATCCCCGGTACCAAAAACAAACAAAGGAGTATTATAATTTTTTTCTCAATTTGGTTCATGTTTATTTTTATTTCAATTTAATGCCTTTTAAATACAAATGTAGGAATTTTAGATAATATGTGTATTTGTGGAAAAAGCAAAGAATAAGTTTGCATTCTCTGGGTATTAATATAGATATATACAAAAATAATTGTCTATGTAGTACACTTTAATATTATATTTGGGAGACTTTTTGAAAGTTCTCATTCATTGTTACTCTGACCAAGAAGCATCCTTATATCTATTAGAGCAATGAATGTAGGAATTAAGTTTCATATATGGTAAATGGTATATGATATAGTTAGTTTTAGAAAGCTCTTTGGAACTACTTTTCTACAAAATGACTTATAATGTAATGAGTCTTCCTCTGCCTTGCTTTTCTTTTTTTCCTCTCCTCTTACTATTCCTTTCTTCCCTCCCTTATGTCCTTTCTTTCTTTTATTCAGAAATAGTTTTATTTTTGTCTGTCCATTTGCTGCTTGCCTTTTTGAAGGTAATACCTGACACCTGTCCCTTAAATGGTGTGCAAGAATCACCTTTTTCATTAATGACTGAAAAGCCCTATAAGAAAAAGAATTAAGGCCACTCTAGTGCGTGTTGTATAATCAAAGGAAATTGGGGAGGTGTTGGGGTTAGTTTTATTATGAGATGATGCAAATAGGTTAATTGGAAATTATAATTTTTACTGAACCAGAAGTTTACTAAACTTGAATTAGGATATATCAGATGTTAAGGCTTACTGACTATTTGCTCTATGAGAGGAAAAGAATACCTAAGGAAGGTCTAAAATCAGATTTTAACAGTTTTTACAAATCTCTCCACAGTGAGATATTGTATTATTCATATACTTAAAATCCATTAGGGGAGTCCTTAGCTGTGTCTCTTTGGCATTTCTTATAACTAGAACAAATTAGTCTCAGTTCCTGACAGTGTTTGTTTCTTAAGAATAACTTAATTTAGCAATAAGTATCCAATGGTTCCAAAAGGGTAAAGTTTATAAATTATTTCAAGGACACTAAACAAGAGATGAAACCCAGATATGCTTAAAAGAAGGTTGTGGCTTGGTTAAGTTGTGATTATGTGTAAAACAGATAGAATAGCAAGCTGTGAAGCAATTTGTGATGTCTACAGGGGATTCTTCCACAATACCATCTAATAGTGCACAGCACTTCTCACTTTCTGTGGAGGAGAGGAAGGAAGGAATAGGCAGGCAGGGATCTATGCATAGTACAGAAAAGTTAGTGAAAAATATCTGTTGCTTGTATCACATGCTAGGCATTTTTACCTCGTTGTATTTAATTTTTTAAACAATCTTATTGTTTACTCTCCCCCAATCCTTGGTTATTTTCCATAAATTCTAATTTATTTTTTGTTTTCAGAGCACTAAAAGGATCAGTGCTTATTTGTATTTGCATTATTTAGTATCTATTTCCTCCACCAGACTAAAAGCTATGTCAGGGCAGAGACCATGACTGTTGTGTTCAAACCTGTGAAGCTGGTTTTTAGCATAGTCCCAGATACACAGGTCTCAACTAAATATTTTTTGAAATGAACAAAAAATAAAGGAGAGGAAGGAAGGAAGCAAATGACAGAGGTGGGACTTAGTGTGTCTGACTTCAAAACTCATTTGTTTCCCCAGCAAAATTTTATTTCATTTAAATTATTCTTAGTTATAAATTCATCTGATAAAGTTTCCATTACACATATCTCAGAGCACCTCAAATATGATGAAAAAGGCCCCTATTTCATCCCATTGAAATACCAAAACAATCTTAAATTAACAGGTGTCTTGGGAAATAGATATAATATCTTTTATTTTTATTTTTAGGCTTTGGTTCCTTCTACATAAAAAGAGTGCTTTCTCTTCTTTATTCTCTGAGATTTCCCCTTACTTTAGGTCTTTGTGCTCCTAATTTGAGTTTTGGTATCTGGCAGAGAATTTGTTGCATGCCCTGCTGAGGTTTTTCCTGTGGAGGCATGTCACTGGGAGAGAAGCTGTGTTCAAACCAAAGGAGCTCCTAGCATCACCAACACCAGGCACTGGGGCTTGGTTTGGTCTTTGAACAATGACTTCATTTTTTTCTGCTTATTTTTTCCTTGTTATTAATAACTATGATTTTCAAGAATGTCTTTGTTTTTGCATAATGCTACTGAACGTTTTTTGTTACTGGTGCTACCTTTTTTGATGTTATTGTTTTGGTACAGGGGATTGAACTCAGGACCTTGCGCTTGCTAGGCAGGTGGTGGCACCACTGAGGTAAATCCCTGGCCCTTGGTGCTACCTTTTAAAAGCACTTTACTGTGTCTATGGTGCTTCCAAAGAAGGGAGGAAATGTAAGTATAGGGAGTAAATGCAAGGTTTGTTAAATCTCTCCTGCAGAAATATCTCATTGTATCTGGGCTTTCAGCAATGCCATGTAGTCTTGAAGGCATGCACAGTAAGGCTTTGTAAATGTGATTAGGTCAAAGAGAAAGTGGATATCTCCCAGACACATTGGATAGATATATATTTAAATCATGCAGTGAACTTTATGAATTCTATATATATTCCTAAGAATGTACAAGAAACATATTTCTGTGATGTTAGGCAATAACGTTTTTTATCTAGACTAAATTACAACCCTGAAACTTTGGCATTTGGGAATTTATCATTTGAAGCAGTCTGGTTTATTTCAAAGTTAGTATCATAGTAGAGTGATCTGATCCCATTAGTGTCTTATTCAGGTTGGTTTAATTAGTGGTCAATCTAACTTCCTATGTAGTCTCTAAAAACTATTAAAAATATGACTCTGTTTCCCCAGTTAAGACAAACTATTTTTTTGGTAGCAAAAGTTTTCTTTCTAGGAGAGTATTTAGTATTTATTAGAAAGTAACTCACTTCCATGAGTATATCCTAGTACTTAGTACTGTATATTGAAAACACAGCAGCAGTTGCTGCATTGGAAACAAATGTAAATGTACCTTGTCTCTGTTCTTAGGAATTTTACATTACGTATGTACATAAAATTTAAAAAAACTTTTGAAATTTCTTTTTATGCCCTGGTGTCTAACCAATCCAATGGATGGATCAGAGTAAGCATTAATGAATGTTATTTAAATTACAGTGATAATGGAAGAGGAGATGTTCAAAGGAGAAGAAATATAATTCCTTATGCAGAATATACTAAGTAATTTGGACTGTAAAAATGTACTCTGGAGAGTTCAATGAATTTATAATTATTTTCTTAAGGGATATTAGGAAACAGATTTCTTAAATAATTTTCTTTGACAGCTATGTAGAATTTTGTTGGAGGAAAAGGGAATCGTGGTAGTTAATCATGGTAGTTCATTGTGTCATCTTAATTGGCTTGGGAGCTGCTGAAGGGATTAGTAAAGCACACTTCTGGATGTGCATAAGTGGGTTATGAGGGCATGATTTTGGGTACTGTAAATGGTCCTACATGCCTTCCTCTTTGGCACTCTTCCTCTGCTCTGCTTCTAGGCCCTTGGCGTTCAGCCATAAGAAGCTTTGTTCCACATGCCTGCTTGCCATGATGTCCCTGCTTTGGAGCCAGTGGATCATGGACTAAATGCCCTAAAACAATGAACCAAATTAAGCCTCCTCTTTTAAGATGTGGATGTTGGGTATTATGTTCCAGTGGTGGGAAAATTGATTAATACAGGGATGGAGAGAGGAGTCTCCTAATAGGGGAATAACGTGAACATAAGGCCGACAAATACTAGAAGGTATATATGTGATAGAGCACAATAAGTTCAGCTTGTGTATAGGCTACAAAATTTAGTGTGTTTGTATCCTTTTGGCTTGTCAGGCTAAGATAAAGCATTTGGTAGATCATAGGGGGCCATCACAAGCATATAACCCAGAGATATGGCAAGAGATTGGCTTTTGGAAAGTTAATTCAGCCAGTAATTGGTAGAATTGTTATGGATTTGGGCAAAAGCTAGAGAAAGTTTGGGAGGATTGCTACAACAATTCAAGTATAAGGTAAGAGATGGGAAGCTTGAGGGAAATGAAAAATGACTCATGTTGCTTTCTCTCTGCTGATTTTGCTAATCACAGTACGGAATTTTTGAAAAGGCAAGATGGAAAAGGCAAGATGGAA